TGTGTCTGTGGGGCACAGCTGATTCTTTATTGCATCATGAGTGTTGTCTTAAAATAGATGTTCAAGAAAGACCTCAGAGTCTTATGGATTTTTCAGGGCGTGTAGTAGTCTACTGAAGCAGTGGTGTACTTTACTACATCTGGTGGAGAGTGAAGAAGTGGAATCCTGGTTCCACTGAAACATGAGATGCTTTCAATCACCTGTTTGCTCCTGTGGAAATAAAGTCAGTTCTGATTTTGGGATTTGTGTTTTTTATTCCAATCAAAACTCCCACCAAGATGTTTGGAGGAATGTTTCAGTGTGCTTTACTAAGTATAACTGTATGCAGAGAGCTTTCCTTTGTTTGTAATCGCTCTAACATTGAAGGATTATATAACATATATTCTGTTAACTGGAGTTTTTGTGTAACAGTATTTCTACCAGACTACCATTGACTTTCATGGAGAATCAGTTGTGTTCAAAACTCAAAATTCAAAGAATGTGCCTAGTTCACCTACTGTTCTAGGGACTAATAGTGGTTTTTATTTAAGCCTTTTTTTTGTATAAAAACTGTCAGTTTCTTCAGTACCAATGAGTTGGTAGCGCATTAGTAGAACCACTTTTACTATTTTTCATGCGTGAAAAACAAAAGTTCTGGACCTAGCAAGACTTGTGTTAGTAGGAGATCAAAACATTTTGATATGCTTTAGAGGCCTCATACTTCTGACCTGTAAACCATTACAAGAGAAAAACAAAGAGTAGGTTTTTAGAAAATGGGACTGTGAATACAGTATGTGTAAACTGTGAGTTGCCATAAAAAGGTGTGCTTTTTATCATTGATGGAAATATTAATGAGGCTTTAGTATCTTGTGTGGCACAAATGAATAATCATAAATGTGAATCATTGAATGATTTAGTTTGCAAGGGACCTTCTGAAAAGTGTCTGATATCTGAGCTGCCCACACCCCCATGGTGATGGTTGTTATGATGATAATTTCAAAGCTGATATATGATATCTGGATAGGGTTTTAGAGCAATTTACATCTGAGTATGTCCTAAGTTAGCAGGCAGACACACTGCCACTTCTTTCTTTATCAATACCTTTGTCTCATTATATCATGAGACTGAGAAAAATGTAGGTAGGTATATTTTTGCTCTGTTAAGAATGATACAAAACTTACTCTGTCAAGAATCATAGGCAGTAACCTCTAGATATTTTGTTGAGTCTTGCTTTCTGTGAACTGGACTGCCGGTTACAGAGCAGTGAATGCATAATGTTTGCTTGTGACCTACAAAGGGTTGGCACAGTTGGAATTGTCAAGTGTGTATTAAGCTACAGTAGTAATCCAGAAGGCACATTGGGTTGCTTCAATAGAGAGTGTTCAAGACAAGAGGATGTGATTCTACCCATTTATTGCTAAAAGCAAACAAAAGAACAAAAAGATTAGTCAAGCATGAGTTTGTCTACAGTCTATCAGATTCTATACCTAACTGTTAGATGTTTCAGAAAACTCTCAAATTTTTTCTTCTGAACAACTGGTACCAGCAGAGAGATGTTTTGTATCCTTAGCTATGATGAGCCTGGTATTTATCAGTCATGAAATTTATGGACAGATGTTGTGAAGAGGATGGTCATGAGTTCTGAATATGAGAATTGAGTAGCTCAAGAAATTTGAGACACAACTTCCTGGGTGTGTCTTAAGATTCAGGACCTTTTCGTTAGATTGTGGTTAAACATTTTATGTGATTTGAATTACAAAACATGCCTTCAGTAAGACTGGAAACAGGAAACTAAAACAGCCATATTCTATAATTAAAGCCAGAAGCTTCTTTCCTATCCATTTTTTTGTTCAACCAATGGCTGAGGATTGAACACTGCCTCAACCTTGTGTAAGGTTTTCCTTCTCAGTAGTTTACAAAGAGGAAAGTGTAATCTAAAACCACTTACTCTTTCCTTCCCTCCACTTCCCCACATTTTCTCATAGGAAATGTAACTAGTACCAGATTTAAACTTAAAAATATATAGTTAAATGTGAATGGACGTGATATATATCTGTTGGATATCAAAATCTAGGCTAAACTTGGTTTGGTTAGCCTTAAGTTCTCTTATTTCCTCTTAGCTCCGGATGAATAATTATGACAAAAATAAGTCACAATTTTTTGCCAGTTGTACAGGTGGAGTACTCAGTAAATGATCCAGTCACCTTTTCCCTTCTTATACTTACTTTTTATTGATAACATAAAAATGAAAATTTGAGAAGAATTAATCAATAGTAGCTTGGATATTTACGTGTAAATCTAATTGGTAAATGGTGATATGTAATTGATCGAAGTGGTTCTTCAGCCTGAGGTCCTGCTGAAGAAAAAGCAATGGTACTTTGCTTAAAAATCAGGAAGAGACTTTCCGAGAACCATTCAGAAGCACCCAAGACTAATAAACAGTGACTTCCTTGAAATTACACTCCTTGCTCATGTTTCTTATGGCAACTTTAGATAAGGGTGGGTCTTAAAATACACAATCACACACTGCTTTAATTTCCATGATACAGTGAATTGGAAGGGTTTTGCACCAGTCTATGTGCCGAAGCTTGTCATTGAAGTATTTATCTCACATTCGTTTTAAAAACTCAGATGAGCAAGTAAACAGCAGAAATAGGCCTTGCAGGATAGCTTGAAGGGGCAATGACCTTGTAAGACTTGGAACTGGAGTTCCCTTGCGCATTTTGGAGTGGAAAGCAAAATTTCTTCTCCTTTGCAATACAGGAAAATCTATTAATTTTCAAGTTAGGTTTTTTGTTGGGTTTTTTTGAGAAAGAAGTTGGTTTTTTTTTCCCCAAAACAAGCATCTGTTTTGAAGACCTTTTGTCTTTCCAGTGGAAGCCATGATATATGATTAACTATACAGATTCTTGTAAACCTCTACCAGTTATTTGTATTTTGAAATCAAACCCTTGCAGAGTGGTTCAAGTTGTGAGCGTATATTAGGTATTGTCTGCCTTTTGATAAGAATATTTATTAAAATCACAGAGTCATCACATCTTGCATGTACAAAAAGCAGCAGATGCTCTTTTGTTTTACTGGAGTCTTTGTGCCTTATTTTTCTTAATTATTATATTTAATTATTTTTAAAAATTATTATTATTTTTTGTTGTTGCATTCAGCATACAGAAGTATAGATAAGCATATATATGTCCTATTTCAGTCTATTAAAAATATGCAATGGATATATAATTTTGCTGCATAGTGGGAATTAAGAACATGCTTTTAGCTTACCTGTTGCTTCTGTTGTGTATCTAAAACGCCAGCAAATCTCATGGATGATTCAGATTCTCATACCAATGCTTCATAGTGCCTAATACTTCTTCATTTTATTTTTTTTTCCATTGGATTATTCATTTTTTTTGAACTGAATTCAGTAATTTGAGAGAGAAAAATGGTGACATCTATCTTGTAGCAGCCTAACTTTTTTTTTCCCCACAGAAATGTTGTTAGCCTTACTAACAACATTTATAACCTAAAGGTTCTTAAAGTAAGGTTTAACACATTCAAAATAACTGCAGGCATGAAAGTTTTAGTTCCTAAATGTGCTTTCCTGTAAGTGGATGTATATTAACCCTTTACATTGACTGTACCGTGGAACCATGGTGAAATGAAGGCAAAGGTGTTTCCAGTAGGACTTGTGATTTCCTTGACATTCCAGTGGCTAGTTGTGTCTTTGTTGACTGAGTGAAGGTTATAACTATTTTTGTATTGCAGATAGATGCAAGTTTGAAATTGCATGAATGACATTGTGTACTGTCCTGCTTTAGTAAGAGCAAATAATTTTTCTGTGTATGGAATTATTTTCTGGCTCAGAAGGAACTTAAAATGTATAGAATAATTAGGGAGACACAGTAAAGAAGGAGGAAATCTTTAGTCAGAATCTTAGCATAACTAACATGTTTGTAGACATGGGCTTTGTTTGCTGAACAAGCTTGTTGGAAAAGATAAGATAAGCTTTTCTTCATTCCCTCCAAACACAGAATTTTTAATGGATGATTGGAGACAGCCCAGAGCATTACAGTGCAGGAAGTAATCTGCATTATAGAAGGAAGAGCTAAATTGATATGAGAGGGAATAACAATCATAAACAAACAGGTTTTTAGAGCGTGCTGAAAAGAGTATAAAATTAAAAGACAGCCTTGTAAAAAATCAATGCTTTCTTCAATTCAGTAATTTTTAATGTCTGGTTTGATGTATCTATTGATACTTACAAGAAGGAAAAGTGTAATGCAATATTTAAGTGTTAATACAGTGACCTTAATCACTGCTTTTACAAGACACAATTTTGCAGAAAGAATTTTGAAAATACAAAGTTTTTTACTTGTTTTACTATTCACTTATGTTTCACTTACACACTGTTCCACTAAAAAAGTACAGTATCTTTCAAAAATTTGATTTAATTTTTCAAGTAAATCTTCAGGGGGTTCTTTTGCCTGTAAATGTGTGAACTCAAATTTTAGAATGTCTTGAGTTTAAGGAGTTGTGCCTTTCTCCTATAAGATCCATGCAGTCAATTTTCAGAGCTTTTATGTTGAGTTCTGGCTCCAGAGATGGCATGAGATGAGTAATTTGCTTACATTAAGACTTTGAATAAATGTAACTCTTTGCTTGACGTTCCTCCTCACACTTCCTTTCCTCTGGGGGTGGATAGAACCAGAAGCATCACTGCTTGCCTGACCCACAAAAGCTTGAGGTTTTACTTAGGATTTCAGATAGATTTCCCAATATACTGAGACATTTGGCATGTGATCATCAAGATGATGTGCCAGTACCCTTGTACTCTTTCTGCAAGTGAACTTCCGTGTCCTAAAGAGCAAGCAGGCGGTGACAGGGATCTTTTACTGCCTATGCTGTAAATCAGTTTTCTACGAGCAAAATTCAGCAAAACTGATATAACTTCTGTAAGGTGATATTTTAGAAGAACAGCAAAGCAGTTTTTAAAATTAGTATTTGTTAGTCAAGTTTTTTTTTCCCTTCAAAGTTGTTTGTTTTAATTGCTTCCTCCAAAATTTTGAGGCATTTCCTTCCAAGCTGTGACCAGACAAGACACACAGTGACAGAGCAGGGAGAGCTGGCAATTAGAAATGCTGGTTGAGTACTATATCTTTGCATGGAAACCAAGGTAAGGAAGGAGGTAGTTAAGAGTTCATGACTGTCCCAAAGTTTCAGAATAAGTAAGTACAAGAATTCCTGTGTTGACTGCTCCTGGAAATAGGTGTACAGTCCTACAGTGGATCAGTGAATGTAGTGCTCAGAGGAGAAGTAGGAAGAGCTTGCTCACATTTTTAATTATTTAATCTTCTTCTGGATAGCAGCAGCTGGATGTCCAGAACTGTTACTCTGAAAGGAAAAAAAGAACAAAGAGGAGGATGGAAAACAAGACAGTGTCTGCATTATCCTGAACACGGGTGTCCGGGAAAGGATAGTGGGATGTGGTAAAGGGGTAATGTACCTTCTGTTAGAGGAAGTGGTGAGCTGGGTCGGGGAATAGGCCAAACAATGTTCAGGGTGATATTCTACCAGTTTTAACATCTAGGAGTACAGGATGGCATCAGCAAATAAATTGAGATGGTCTACACATTTTGCATTTTACTTAATTAGGTAAGATTTCTAGAATTTATACTTAATATTACAAGTCCCCATGCTAAGCAATTATTTATTGAATCACAGAATCATTTAGTTTGGAAAAGACCTTTAGGATCATGGAGTACAACCATTAACCTAATGCTGGCAAGTCCACCACTAAACCATGTTCCTAAGTGCCACTTCCACATGTCCTTGAATACCTCCAGTGATGATGACTCCATCACTTCCCTGGCCAGTCTGTTCCAAATCTTGATAATCCTTTTGGTGAAGAAATCTTTCCTAATATCCAATCAAAACCACTCTTGATGAACTTGAGGCCATTTCCTCTTGTCCTGTCACTTACTACCTGAGAGAAAAGACCAACACCCACCTCACTAACCTCCTTTCAGGTAGTTGGAGAGAAGCTACGTAACTTGGAAAATTCCTATCCCACTTAACTGTGGTTTGTTTTTGTGTTTTGATGTGGTTTTTGTTTTTTTCCATAATGTGTAATTGAAATTTCCTGTAAAAATGTGAATTCTCTGTTTTGTATGGAAATTGACATAGAGTTAAGACTTAACTCAGCATTTTGGCTCGTCGTTTTTCCTTGTTAGTTAAACTCACTTAGATTTAGACTAATTTACCAGCTGATAGAAAATGAAATGAAAAAGAAATACCCCAAACCAGGTTTAACCAAATAAGAATTAAATTTCTGGATAGAAGACATGAAATTTATATACTCACCTGAGTTCCTTCATCATGAACATTCAGCAGTGACTCTGTGAGTTGATGAGGTAATAACTTCAACCAAAGTTCTGCTTTATTTTAATCCCTCTGAAGAGAAACTGCTTACTGATCACCATTTTTTTCCCGGAAGACTTTTCACAACAGTAACTGAATGGTAAAGTTACACTTGTTTAGATGTTTTGACCCCACGCCCATACAGTAACTCAGACTCTCTGAGAACTTGGTATGGAAATGCAAATGGCAAAGTTGCCTGTCAAGCCTCCAAATTGGGGCTTTTGTTTCTCAGCAAGAAATTAGTTTTAGGCTTCTGTTTGCTTGTTTCTTTTTTCTTTTAAATAACCCAGTCTTTACCCATATTTGCTGTATTTGAACTGCAGAAATCTTTAAAACACAGCCTGGGTACTTTCACACAAGTTTGAACAGCTACAAAAACAGAACAGTTGAAAAGTGGAAATGTCAGTAATAAATAATTTTCTGAGTATTTTTGTTGGTCTTAATTGGAGTTTACATATAATGAAATCGTAAAAAATGGCTTTACAGGCCAGGAAAAAAGGATTGACGAACACAAGACACTGTGTGACTGTTCTTGGAGAAATTTGAGGACATCAGAATATCTGCTGCATAGAAGAGAGCACAGATGAGATGCTGTTTTCACTTGGACTGCTGAGATTCAAAGTAATTCATCCCAGAGAAGATCATTGATGAACTATCAAGGAACACCTTCATCTCTATTTTAGGCCTCTATTTTATAAAAGAGGAGAGAGGCCTATGCCTTGAAGAGCTGGTATCATTATGTTGTTGAGCATAGCCTTTGATTTTATTACACCTGTGTGATGACAAGTTTTTAGTACTTACTCTACAACTTCAAGACTTGTTGAGCCACTAGAAGTCTTTTGTGTTCAGTTAACTGATGCCGAAACCTCTAAGTGCTGCATCTGACTCAACAGCTGTCACTGAAGGTGTCTACTCTCACTGCAGCCTAACCTACAGGCCAAATGAAACCTTTAGGCCAAGGGTTCCCTTGGAGCAACTTAATCTAAATGCAGATAAAATAGGAGTAAATGTCTTTAGAGGAATTATCTCAATTCTAAATAGATTGGAGAGTTTGTGCACTAGGGGAACTATTTTAAACCGGTCAGAATTTTATTTTCCAAAATTTTATACTCTTGGGCGTAAACTTACAGAATGCTGCTTGCTCAGACTGTCCAGAAGAGCTTATCAGGAAGCAATGAACAAAGAATTTAAGATGAAATCATATAGCAATTCTCCTAACTGTTAATAAGCACAGGTCTGACCAACTGTTACTACCATTTTCTGGTAAAGGTATAAAATGTCTGCCTTTTTTTCCTTTTTTTTCCTCAGTTTCTTTTGTTCCTTTTTTTTTTTTTGTAATCAATCTACAGCAACCGCTGTGTGCTGATTTTGACTATCATGATGTACACAATTCGTCAAGGAAAAATAAGACACTAAATCCCAGCAATTAACAGTTCATATAAAAGGCAAATCTAATCCTTAAAGAATGGTTGCTAGGCAGTAATGGGCAACCTGCAGTTTTGGGAATAATTCCATTCTGAGCGTGGAATATTGCTAGCAAATAAACTGCAGAAACTTTGCAGTACTATCTGTAACATTAGTGATACAATTGTTTATTTTTAAGTGCACCATTTTTTTTGTATGCTGAAGACTTTTTTCCTTGAGGTAGCTAAGTAATCAGTGAAATAGACAGAAGGTAGTGCTAAGGCACTGTAAAGGGTTGTGGGATATGGCTTCAGATTCATATATTGTCACTTTTTGGGCGGAGGCGGAATGGATTGCATGTAAAATCTGTCTGGATTGACCATCAGCTGTTTTGTGTGTCTGTGACAACAGCAGCAACTGTATTGCATAGCTCCAGTCTGGATCCAGTCAGTACTGTACTTCTACTGTTAACTTCTCTGATTGAGCAGAGACAGGAACCAGTTCTGCTTCAGAAGTGACTTTGGAGTTGGTCTCCTTTCAGATGCCAAAAGGTAATGGAGCTTCTATGTACTCATACTCAGTATTCAGGTGGATGGAGAGAGAGGCTCCAACCCATAGTTCTGGTCTGGCCATAAACATTAATATGACAGGTACTTCTGCTTATGAGTGGGTCTGTTTATCTGTTTGCTTAACTACCTTTAAAAATCAAGGCATCATATTTATACTCCATGGGGAGAAAGCCTTGCTTTCCTTCCCTAGCTGCTGATGCTTCAGCCACAATGAATTGCAGTTTAAAGGTTACATACCAGTATGGTTGCTTTTAGCCAGTTGATTTAAGTGTCTCTTGTATAATTTTTGTTCAGATTTTGAAGTGCTTGCCTGAGCAAGCAACCTGTTATAAGCCTTATTACAGAGCTGAGGTTATTTCTGATTTGATCAGTAGGTTTTGAAATAGTAGTAACACAGAAAGCATTTCTGAATCTGCATCCAAACATAGTGGAAGGCTTTTGATTCCAGGAGGGTGTTTTGTCCTAAGTATTTACTTATATACTGAGAATTTACTGGCATATGCTGCCAGAGATCAGTCAATGCCGATGATTTGTATTCTTTCAGAATGTTAAGAGAAAAAATTAGATTCACCTAATGATGGGATAATGTCATTTATGTGTTAAAATCCTGTGCCAAATATCTTATAATTCGGCATATAAGTAGGACATAATAGATATATATGAATTTGAATGATGCCTAAATAAATAGGGAAGTGGGATTGTGAAAAACAAAAGCCCCTATTGCCTCAGTCATCTGTTGAGAGTTTTAGTCTTAAAATATTCATAGAAAATACTGACGGTTTTTTAAGTTGTCACTTCTGTTTATTGATCTTTGTTTTTTTCTTATTTCATTTGCTGAAATGGTCAAGTAGAGTAGAATGTTGATTCCTTCTCTGCTGAGTTTTTGAAACTCATTTCTATCATATTAGGTTATACAATTCATAAACAGCATTAGGTAAAGTTTCTAGCCTTCTTTCATCTTTAGTTTTAGAAAAAGATTACATTTATATCTAAGAAAATGTTAACAATCAATGTTTTAAGTGCGCATTTTCAAAGTCTACCAATGCAGCTGTCAATTTAACCTCTTCCTTACTGGCCATTTTACTGTTGGAAAAAAAAAATCTATAGACCATTTTATTTTATTTATACCCCTAGCTGTTCTTTTTTTTCTTTTTACTTAAACTGTAATGGTGATTTACACTAATTAAAACCTATTAACTAATGATGTTTGGAACTAGTGATTTTTAGTCTGCACTTGAGGAAGTGATTGCTCTTTCTGAAATATTTCTCACCTTTTGGATTTCCAGTTAATATTCGGAATCAAAATTTTCTTCAAAATGTATGCCAGTTTGAGTATCTGTGACAATGAATCTGTTTTGGCACTCTCCTTTGGGTTGCGAATCTCTCATCTCTCCTCTCAGACAATATAGAAACAATAACCAGGACAATGATTTGAGGTGGAAATAGGATGTAAGATTTGGAGCACATCTTAAGCAATTGAGTCTGGCATGAGGTGCACAAGTAAGAGTGAATGTTCCCTTCTGTCTTCTATAAAAACATTAATGTTTGGGAGTTCAGAATTGGGATGTTTGCTGCTTCCTATTAAGTAGAATTAGTGAACTGCCATTATTAAGAGCAGAACCCAAGTATATGGTTTTAATTTTTGCAATTGTGTTAAAATTATATTATCACTAAGTAACTTGGCATAAATAAATAGATTTATGGCTTTTATTACTTAGATGTGTTTAGTTTGGCCTGTGCTGAATTTAATTTTAAAATCCCCAAAACTTAGAAAAGGTGATTGAATACCAGATGCTATGTTGCTTTTCCATAGTAGCACTTCTGAAATTTTAGATAGGGCAATCCAAAGAGATTTGGTGTAGTAAACATTTCTGTCTCTACTATCCCCCTATTTAAGGCTGAAGATTTGCATCAGACAGTTCAAGAAGAAAAGTATAAAGCTTTAATAGTGTTTCAAATCATTAGTGCCTCAGATGTCCTTAAACACACTTTAGGTGACTCTTTAAAGTGAAAAATCATGGTTTTGTTTCTACAGTCAAGTCAAGCCTTTCTAGGAGAGAAAGGAGTGTCCAGATTTTTTTTTTTATTGTGACAGCCTTAGTGGTTTGTGCATTTAAAATGTTGAGTTATTTTAAATTTAAATTGAAAGTAATAATAAAAACAAATAACATTTCTGAAAGCTTGCTGAATATCCAATATACTGTTCTCCTATAGCTTGTTTTGTTCCTTCTTGCATGCAAACTGTACAATGCAAATGCATCTGGTTTTAATTTGGCTTCATATTTAATCTTGTTCTGGTCACTAGCTTGGGATGAGTGAAAATGTAAAATTTGTGTGAGCAATTTCACTAAGTGGGTATATTTTTGGTTTCCTCTTTCATAAATATAAATGAGTACTGTACTGTGACTGATGTGTTCATCTTTTCCCTAAAATAACAGATTCTGTGGCAGGTTCACCTATTATTTGCAAACTTTCTAGAGCCATGTCTGCACAAATCATATTACCTCTTAAAGGCAGTGCAATTGTAGCAGAAAATTTAAATATATTTGTCATGACTAATAGGTTGTTCTAAATTTGTGCAGTGTTTTGAATTTTTTTTTCCTGATACAATGAGAAATTATTATTTCACTAAGCAAAGTATAAATTTTGATATTTTTTTATTTTTTTTTTAACATCTGATTTTCACTTTTCAACCTCTTTTTTTTTCTTCTTTTTCTGGGAAATAAACTGAATGCAGTGCTTTTGATACGAGAGAGGGCAGTGACTCCATATGTGTCATTATTTCTGCAAAATTCCTTCATTGGTTTTTCCATGTGATATAATGTTAGTTACTGGCAAGGACTAAATAACTGAAAGAGAGTAGATTTGTACAGTTTTTATCCATGGCTATGTATCAGTGGCCTGCTTTAGTTGTAACTACCACATTCCTTTCCTTTACTGCTTGTCCCAAAGACCAAGTAAAGGAGAGAAGGTCAGGTTCCATAAACTCTAACCAGTCTTACTATTTTTAAAGTTGAGTTAGACATACATACAAGCATGTATCTCTCTGCTTGGAGCGGGCTTACATGCCATACACAAAGTATTTGAAGTGCTCATAAGTGCTTCAAATAATTCCTCAGAGTCTTGGAAACAAGGAATTTTATGCTGTTTGCTAAACCTTAACAGGGTAGAAATAATTCTCCAATTATTAAGTAATAGTGGAACCTTTGTTCTTTTAGTTTTAGACTGTGTGATACAATATTTGTGCCCAATACCATCTTCTCCTCCAATTCACTTTACCATCCTGGCAGCAAGATCATTCATGTATTAGGAATGATATACTCTGATCTTAGTTCCTGTACTGAACTCTTGCAAATGTTTCACTGCTACTTCTAGCTGAGGTGGCATTTAGACAGTTACATGAAGATAAAATAGATCTTTAGAGGGGAAAAAAATCCATCTGAAGTTGCTTTTTGCCCTGCTGGATGGCCTTAGCCAAAGCAACCAGGCTTTTAATAGGAGCAAATTTATGTGGTTTGTGGAATTTGCTGTTTTGTCAGCAGTTGCTTCTGCCAAGAAAAGGGCCAATGCTTTCAAATTTGGACATAAAAATTAAGTATACAGAACAGTATTATGGCTCCTAATTATGAATGGCATTGTTAAATTTCTATACCTAAAATCACTGGCATTGTTAAATTTATATTCCTAAAATCACTGGACAAAATTATTCTTTGACATAATATCAGTGAGTTGATTCGTAGCAAAACAAGTAGCTTGGCTCACAGTTTTTCTGTTGTTTCCTGAGCCACCAGGCATTGGTGTCTGGTTTTGGGCAGGCTTAACTCTTCACCTTCTCTCCCATTATTTATATGTAGCTGCAGTAGTTTATGTTCACTGGGAATCAGTTTTTATTCCCGTTGGTTCCCACACTTCATACTGCTTTACATGTTTGGTCTGGCCTTGTGTTTTGCTGCTTTTGCTGATACATGCTATCTGATAGTTGTTTTGCTCCTAGGTTATTCCAGAATTACAGAAAGGTTCTCACTTATCTGCAGTGAGAGTTTAGTTGCTACAACATGTAAGTTGTTACTGTAATTCCTCTAACATTTTTTTCAGCTAAAATATTGTATGATATCTACTCACTATTTAAAGATTGTATTGTGCTGAATTTCAGTCTCAGAAAGCAGCAACAATCAGTATGAATTGGATAGGATTGAATAGGATTTTCAGGTGGTTTTAGTTTTAGCCTTTTAATCAGAATTGAGAAATTGAAAAATAAAATGCCTTTGAGCATTTTCTGCGTATCTTTTAAAAAGGAATGAACTCAATTAATGGGTAACGTAGATTCATGTAAGAATTTTGAGTGGTGAGATTTCTGCTCTGAGGTAGAATACCCAGACATGATAGACATAGACAAGAGACTACTGATTTTGTTTTGCAAGGGAAAAGTACCTACGTCTAGAACTGAAAAGGTATCAGTAGCATTACAGGAAGATACTGTCTCTGAAATATAAAGGAATAATTGCTTTTTGTAGTCTAAAGAATATTTATAATCTATTCCAAAAACCAAACATCATGAGATACTTTGTTGTTGCACACACTAAGATGTAAAATACTGTGTTGCCTGTTAAACTTCAAGGAAAAGTTTACATTCTTCTCCTTAATGCAATTGGACCTCTTCAGACAAAGTAAATTCTTGGAGCAAATGCTAGACTACTGTTTTACTCCAACACCTGATTGTTCCCATAGGATCATGTTTCATACTGAACTTGAGTAGTGTGGTAAAGTTGCTTTAAAAATTTAAAGACTTATGAAAGTGTGAACAAGTGCAGAATGTATGTCTTGTAGGAACAAGCTGTGTGCCTAATTAATGGTTTGCCTTTGTGTCCTTAAGTCATGCTGCTCTGTACCACCTAGGTCACATTACCAAAACCTATGGAGATAACATTGTCAAAGACTGCAGTACATATAGCAAGTTTATTGTACTGTTGTCTTGGTGCAGACTGCATTTGAAGTTCACATCTAATCATTCTGTGTCTTCACAGAAAATAATAGACCCAGCTTGTTATGATCCCTGAATATTGTAATGAGGAGATAACTTGCAGTGGGGTTTTGGGAGTCTGTTATGCAGGAGGCAGCTCTAAAGAAACTTTCAGAGCCATTCAGTTTTGAGAAAATGTCTGCCTTCCTTCAGTTTTTCAGTATGAGGAAGATTAGTTTTCTGGATTTGTCGATCATATAGTAGTTAACCTCACATCTTTTCTCAGAATTGTTTCTAACTGTGAGTATTTGTATTACTCACTGTTAAATGTGGTGCTAGATCATGTATTGGGGAAGGTGTTTAAAATGTCTTGCTTTCAGAATAAAAATTTGTAGAGTTGTGTAAAATCACTTCTGTTTGGGTGTGTTCAAGCTTTTAGCTGATATAGCTGAGAGCTTAATCTTTAACCTTTAGGATCTTAGCATTTCATTAGTGCTATTTAGAGAGCAACAAGACTTGTCTCCAAGACTTTTTTCTTTTACCTCCTTGTTTACTCTCACACTAACTTGTGTTCAGCAAAGATTTAGATTTAAATTGCCATGCTTGATGGCAGATAGCTTTTGTAGTGCATTTTAGTAGCTCAGATCAGTACTTCCATTTTTGTGGACTGTGTAACCATGAATGTCTCTAGTGCACCAGCAACCTCTGGCATGACAGTGGTAGTTCACTGGAACCAAGCAGCTTCTTCCCAGGTTAATTTTCCTACTCTTGTATTTATACTAATTTGTCCTGTGTTTTATTTGGAATCTGAATTTATCAGCTTTGTATGTGTTTTAAAATGGAAACGTTTGCTGCTTGGCCATACGTGGTATGAGAGATGGCAGTGAAAAGTGATGCTTGCAATCATGCTCCTCAAGCTTCTCCTTACTCCTTGTGGCATGTTTCAGTTTAAGAAAACTTTTTTCCCCCTTCATGTGGCTGTTCAGCTCATGTAACAGCTCAAGGGTTAAAATTGAAATGTCATAAAAGTTCAGTGCAGTCACACTGTCATGTTATCAGTGTCAGTGAACTAGCAGGAAGCAAAGAGTTCAGAGTTTATCGGAGTGTCAAACAAATTTTCCATGGTTCATCTCCAAAAAATGTATTCTCTGAATAAAGAAAATGATAAAAAGACTTTTATGTCAGCATAAATAGCTCTAGTAAGCTTTTGATATCTTGGTATATGTTCTTTCCAGTGTAGAGTAGTAGTCTGGTGATGTTTTTGATATGCAGTAAAGTTTTGATCTTACAGATTTTGATTACTTCCAATTTCTGCAAATACTTGTGTAGAAACTGTCTGTAACTGTTGTTTTCCTAGAAATTGATGTCTCTAGGTATTAAAACTGTGACTTGTCTTGAAACTAACTTCTAGTTTAACTTTTCTATCTTAGTTTCAGTTTGAGACTTCTTAGTATAATGATTCTTTTTGACTGAGAAAGTTGTTAGTACCTGCATGTGACTTTGAAAATACTGTCTTTACATGAAGCTATTAGAGAATAAGGTCTTTGAAAAGCAAACTATTTTCTAAGCATCAGAGCTGATGAAACCTACTTTCTGCTAGATTTATGCACTTTATCTTTCTCCTCCTTCCCTCTGCAGTGCCTCCCCTGTCTTCTACCTCTTTTGCTGGCCATGCAGCTGCACATGCCATGGCTGGGGTTGGAGCTGTGTACTGATTGACTGCTACCTTTTGGAGTGGTTAAGATGTGAGTCTTAATACCTGCCTTTTCTACATAGCAGATACGGATTTGGGTGTCTTCCACCAACAGTTGGTTGTTTTGGGGTGGGATTACATTGAGATTTGAAGGAATTTGGTCTTGAGTCTGTTTTCAAATTTGATCAAAGCTAGTCAGACGTCAAAAGTGAACAGCTGAGGGTAGTAATCAAGAACTTCTGTTAGAAGTAGTATAGTGAATTCCTGATAAACTGTTCTTGGGGACTTGTAAAGAGTTTCTGCTGCACAATACTTTCTTGCCATGTTTTTCCTCCACTAGTTTGCCTATGTGTTTTCACTTGTAACTTGGTTTTCTGTCCTCTCTATCCTGTGTGGCCCCCAATTTGACGTGTAAGTGCTCATGCTCCAGTGTAGAGATCATAGTGCTAGACTTCTATGCAACTGCAGCCTGAAGGCTGCATGAGCACTGTGCTGGGAAATGCCATAGAAAATTCTGGAAACTGCTTTTGCCTCGAGGTTGGAGCAGATATCTAAGGCTGGAAGGGACTTCAGGAGGTTATCTTGTGACCCTCTGATCTTGTTCCTTCTTAGAGCAGGTAGATCCAAATTTCACGAAACTCCCTGCTTTCATACCTCACTGTAGCTCCTGTTCAGGTTGACGAGTTCACCTTTCTCTTACTAAATTTTCTGGGGAAAGATTTTTTATTTTCTTTTCACCCTATTTTAAGGCCTTTTTGTTGCTACAGCTACTGACACTCCCGTTTTTGAGTTTGTGGCCTTCAACCAGGAAGTCTTGATACATTTAGACTGAATGTTGAGGAATTTAGTATACCTGGTTTGAAAACATTCTTGCCTTATTTTCTTTAAAGTGTTCTATTTTCACTTTTGAGATTTTCAGCCATATAGAAACTTGACTTTAATAAAATGAAAAATAAAATAAATAATACATTGGAGGAAGAGTTATATTCTAGGTTGTTTATAGATTGCCTAATGTACATTCTTTACAGAAATTAATAAAAGTTAGCCTACTTTACAATATGCTTACATCCAGAACAAAAACCAACTTTCTTTTTCTGGAAACAAATAATGTGGAAGGTACAGGTGTGATGAGAATATTGTTCTGCTGACAGTAGACATGAATGTCTGAAAGAGATTAGGTTAATTTCTGAACCCTTGCAGTTGGGCAAAAGTATTATTTAGTCCCTTGGACAGAACCTGAGACAGGAGACTAATTAGCTAAGAGATAACCTTTTACATAAACTGTGATAGATAGGATCAGAAGTGTCATTAAAATGTAACTGCATGCTATAAAAATGTGATTTTAAAATTGGATATGAATTTCAATTCCTGATTTATATTCAGTGGTCCATTATCTATTAAGGACAAATTTTATGGAGGCAAACAGTCTATTGGCACAGATTTAACTTTTTAGATGTGTGGATTGTTTCAACAGTTGTATGAGCTAAATCCTACATGAACATGTCAATTAGAACTATAATTTTTATACTGATATTTTTACATGAGAAATAGTTTTATCTTTTTGCAATGTTTGTGAAAAATTAAGTTTAAAAATGTCAAATGGATGTTTTATTTGTGTGGCTGCCATTGGCAGATTTTCTCCTTTGCTAAAGAACTCAAAAAGTAGCATATGTGAAACACTTCTGGAGCTGTATTGGCTGCTGTGCTTTACTATGCAACATAAGAAATAATCCTACTTAAAGAATTTAGTTGAATACAAATATAGTTTACTGGAGTAGATGAAATGCAGCCAAGCTAGTGACATCAGTGGCCTGGGAGAGCAGTGCAGTGGTATAGCTGACTTCCAGTTACAGTATAAGATGCTTTTGATTACGCACAAAGAAAGCATCCTTTTGAAGATACTGAAAGCAAAATTAGAGTCAGCAGAAAAGCATAGAAATATTTCCGGGAAACAAACTTAGGAGAGGAAATAGAAGACATCTTGATGGTATTTATATACTGTTATTCAGTAAAATGTCTTCAAGGTGTTACACTCAAGCCTGTTGTTTATGATGGTCATTTCTTTTTCAGATCGAATCCAGTTACCCAGGAATATGATTGAAAACAGTATGTTTGAAGAGGAGCCTGATGTGGTTGACTTGGCAAAAGAGCCTTGTTTACATCCACTGGAGCCTGATGAAGTGGAATATGAGCCAAGGAGCTCCCGTCTCTTAGTACGTGGCCTTGGAGAGCATGAAATGGATGATGATGAAGAGGATTATGAGTCATCAGCAAAATTGTTGGGGATGTCCTTCATGAACAGAAGCTCGGGTCTGCAGAATAACATGTCTGTATATAGACAAAATACAAATGGACCATGCTCAGTGCCCTCTACGAGGACCATGGTAGTTTGCACAGTTGTTTTTGTGATTGCATTTTCATTAATCATAGTGATTTATCTTCTTCCCAAGTGTACATTTACCAAAGAAGGCTGCCATAAAAAAAATCATACAATGGAACTAATATACCCTTTGGCAACCAATGGAAAACTATTTCCATGGGCAAAAATTAGACTTCCTCCTGATGTTGTACCACTGCACTATGATCTTGTCTTGCAGCCAAATTTAACTACTCTGAAATTTGAAGGCTCTGTAAAAATAGTTGTCAACATCCTCCATGTAACTCAGAAGATTGTACTTCACAGCTCAGGACTTAATATCACCAAGGCAACAATTAGTTCAGCACAAGGGCACCAAGCAAAGCCAGTTGAATTCCTGGAATATCCATTGCATGACCAGATTGCACTCATGGCTCCAGAGGTTCTCCTTGCAGGACAGAATTATACTGTCAACATGGAATATTCATCTAATTTATCAGACACCTACTACGGCTTCTACAAAATTTCTTACAAGGATGAGACCTCTAAGCAAAGGTATGCCCACTAATACAGCTTCTCTGTTCTGTCACTTCTAGATTGTCCTTTGATAACAGAAGTAAAAAGGTTGTTTTTTTTAACTGGACATTTTATGCAAGTTATTCCTGTTGAGAAAAATAAGTTTTTAAATCTCTTGATTAATCTACCTGAAAAATGTCTTTCATGGATGAGTTCCTTAAATCAGGGCAGCCTCTCCCACTGTGAAATGTACTTCAGTGTGGAGGTTGTAGGTAGCTGTAGTGCGGCTTTTTTGGTTTGTTAAATTTTTAATTTCTCTCTTTGGAAATTCTTCCCACATTTCTTGAGCCTTTGAGCTTCAAGACAGGGACTGAGGAAATGAAGTCCCATCATCATAAAAAGAGGTCAGGTTCAGGACCACCAGAGGAACCCTGTGGGACCCAAAGGGATGCATCACACAGTCCTAGGGGAACTGGGAGATGTTATTGCCAACGAAGCTCTCAATCATATATGAAAAAGTCATAGCAGACAGGCAAAGTCTCAGGTGACTGGACAAGAGGGAAGCATCACACTTACTTTTACAAAGAGTAAATTAGTGCTTTTTATTAAGATTATTAAAAAATGGCCCTCCCTCCCCACTTCAAATGGGCCTTATGCTGGTCATGTAATTAAGAGGGTTCATACCTTTGTGGGCAAGTAACTATCCACACAGGTCTTCTAGTAACAGTGTGGTGCAATAAAAAAAGTGTGGGTCAGGTAAGCTATTATTGGAAGCGTTGAAAACATGTATTCCCATGAAGTAAGCAGGCATACGAGTGCTGTGGGTGTAGAAGGTAAAAATCACCTAAATGGTTGAAACTTGTTTTTTCCTATTCTGATGTAGCTGCAGCTTTCTTTTCTTTTTGTATTTACTGTATTAGAAAGATAATGCATAGTTGTTCACAGAGAAAAAATGTGATCTTTGAGTAATTTTTTGAGGTTTTCTCCCCTTCAGTCCCATGCTACCTGCTTTTGTTCAAGAGCAGAATGGTAACACATGTTTTAACCTGTGTGTTTTTCAGTAAATACTTTTCAGATAACTCTTTAGTTAGATTCAATCATTTCCATTGCCTTGCCTGCCACTTCTTTTTGCAGGGGCATTATCTCTGTGTGTCTGTTGTCTGTAGTTCTAACAAAAATGCAGATTACTCTGATAACCTCTGTTGTTAACTGCACTTTCTGTATAAAACTCAAACTATCAAGTTGATTTTGCAAGAAAATACATTTTCTGTAGTTTAGTTTTGCTTTCTTTTGAATCTCTTTTATATCATCACAAAAATATCAAATTACCAAATGGCAAAATAACTCACTTAGCTTGTTGTTGACAAAAGCAAAATAAAAAAATATATAAATTTGGCCTTATTTATATTTTTATCCAGAATGGTTCTTTATTCTTTATTTTTCTTCTGCACAATCTTGGGGTGAAACTACGTTAATTTGTCAGGGGGAAGAAAAGAGTTAGCAGTTGAAAGTGGCATGCAGTTTAATCTAGTGAGTTGTCAGCACTGTGCCTTTTCAGAAATGCTGTATATTCAAAAATGGTTGAATCATAGTGCAGAAAAAATAAACCCCTCAAACACTTGTGGGTAGCTTGGCAGGTTAAAAAAAAAAAGCAAAGAAAAAAAAGCACAATGTGTACCATCTTCTCCATTTAGCTCCAGTAAATAGTTTAATTAAAAACTTGTTGAACTTTTGTTGTCTGCAGGTGTAGAACTCAGAGATGCTCTCTGTCAAAAGCTGTAATTTTTGTGGCTAGTTAGTATAAAAGTAATGGAGAAGTCCTGAGAAGTTTCCTTGTGGTATGAACAGCTGTTGAATTAGAGACAGGACAGTACATGAACTTGGACAGAATCCATTTTCTAGCCAGCACAGAGAGCAGGCATACAGTTAGATGACCTGTGGGAACATCTGCAGGAAATGGCCTGGCAATTAGATGAAAAAGCTTCCTTGCAGTCCTATCTACTGCAGAGGCTTCCAAACTCTTATTTAGTAGGCCTGCTTGCTAATTTAATTTTTCAGTATTCCTTTTGTTCCCTCTCTCTGGAAACGGGCTGGCTTGTATTTTGGCGATTGTTTTGTAAGTGTGTTACTCCGGGTGCGTTCTTCTTTGTTCAGGGAGCAAAAAATAGCCAAGAAGATTACTTCTCAGTTAAGTGTGTTACTGGGTTTTAAGGAAAAAATTGTGAATGAAACATTTATTCTGACTGGCATCATCTTGTCATCTACTGTTCAGAAAGCTATTCCCATAATAAGCTCTTAGAATGTTTGGGAGGAAAATTACTGTTCTTTCCTAAATAAACTGACATTTAATAATTCTTATTTTCCTCTTCTCCACTCTTTCCAATTAGGTGGTTTGCAGCAACTCAGTTTGAACCTCTGGCAGCAAGGTCTGCTTTTCCATGCTTTGATGAACCAGCATTTAAAGCTACTTTTTTAATCAAGATCAAAAGGGATGAGAAACTTTCCACTCTGTCAAATATGCCAAAGGTACCTGCTTTTGTAGGGAAATTTTGGTAGAGCTGCTGCCTAGGTTATCTGTTTCAGTGTTTTTGACTGTGTTTTTACTGCATTAATGTCCAGGGGATTAACTTGAGTGGGTAAGCTGCAAACTATATTACTTTATCAACTGTTTTGTTTTCGAAGACCTGAACTTTTCAGGGATAACAGCTGTTCAATGCATTGCACAGTGTAAGATGTTACTGACAGGCAGTTGAATGATTGAAGGATTTCCGTTGAAATTTCATTTTTTAATTTTTTTATTTTTTAAATTTAATTTCTTGAATGGACTGTCACCTCCTTATAAAACAAAAGCTATAATAAAGGCAGAAATTTATTAATTCACTGGAGAAATTCAAAGATGGCATTCTGCTCATATATAATGGTCAGAATAAATTATTATGGTGGTTATATCTTCAGGTTTAAAAATACATTTCTCTTTAAGGCTGACAGTTAAGTTTTCAGTGACAGTTAAACATCAAAACATTGTTTGGTTTCAAATGATCTTGTCTAAAACTAAGGTTATTGTTGTTGGTTTTTAAGTGTGTGGGTTCCGAAAAAAAAATCATATATGAAGTTTCAGAACTTATGAACTGCTATCTCTCTCTGCAAACCTTTAGTATTCTGCACTGTAGTGGTTTTAAACATTTTGCATTATTCTTTTTGTATTTTATGTTTTTGAGGGAATACATAGAAAAGTACTTTAAGGCATATAGCATGCTTTTTTAGGATTAGTATTAAAGACAACTGCACAAAAAGTAAGTTGAGGTATGGTACAGTATCTTCTGTATGGTATCTTACTGCGTGCTCAGAAAACTGGGCAGGCAGTTACTTTTGTCAGTGTGTTTAAGCTGGGCATGTTTTTGCTTTAAAATAACTGAGACCTTAGATTTTCATCAGTTTTCAAAATGTGTTCTCGATTTTGATTTGTAAAAGTGCTTCTGAGGAATATTTTGTTCGGTTTTAGAATAGTAAGCATGTCTGGTTATCTAGTTTTGCTGAGACTTATGGAAAGAGACAGATATTTAACTCATGTAACACCACTATTTTTAGTAGGCTGTGCTGAACTGTGTCTTTGATGTAGCCTAATGCTCCCTTGAATTAGTGCTGATCTATATGTTGGCTTTGGATTATACTGGGACTTTAAATGTGAACCAAATTAGATTAGTTTTTCTACAACAGAGTAGTTATTTGGTAACAAACAGAGTTATTTGGTAATAATACATAATAAAACTTGACAAATACTTTTTGTGTAGATAAATGTAAAGGTTTCATGTATTCTTAAGTTTGTTACATTGTTGCAAGCATCATCAATCTCACTGAAATATACCAAAGATACTAGGTATGCTTGCCTATAAACTGTTTATAGCATGAAATAATTCTTTAACATTGATGTATTTTATCTCTTAGTGTTCTTTTGTCTGCATTAACAATATTTCATTTCCCCTGCAGAAAGCCACAACACCTGTGACAAATGGAATTGTTGAGGATGAGTTTTTTGTGAGTTTGAAGATGAGCACCTATCTAGTAGCTTTTGTTGTTGCAGACTTGAAAAACATCAGCAGGGAAACTAATGGGACTCTGGTATGTGTTTGTTTCACTTTAAGTTCTCCTTCACTCTTCCCAAGCTGACCAGGCTACTAAACAAAACAGGAAGATCCTCAAACCAACAAGCAAACTGTATCTTTTAAATTTATTTATCTTCTTGGTTTCATTATACTCATCATAGGTAAGGGACAAAAGCCATTTGCTGTAAAGTGGACTGTGGTCATACCAGACTGCATATACTTTTACAGCAAGGGACCCTGCATCAGGTCTTGTTAACAGTGGAAATTTACAAAATATAAAATTCCTAAGAGCTTTCAGAGCTGGAAGCCTTCAACTCTTCACTGCTTCATATGTGAACAGTAATGTCATGCAAACCAGGAGATGTTCTGAGGATGTGAACAAATGTGAGAAGTTTCCAGGAACACCTACACTGCTTGTGGTTTCCAGCAGTGCCACAAAAATTTTCTGTACCTGGCAAGTACATATACATAAGCAACATATCTAAAAAACTCATGCCCTACAGTAAAGCAAATTTAGGCTGACTTTAAATCTGCATTTAGTCACTTAAATATAATTATTTAATTCTGTTTTTCCAAAGGTTACAAACATCACACAGTGGGTCCTGCTTGAGCTTTGTCCTTTGCAAGTATGGCCTCTTTCTACAATGTATGCCATTAGAGCAACTAAAGAATAAACATGGTAACATTAGTAGTTGTTCCTTAATCTTACATTAGAAAGCGCAGAAGTTGCATGTAAGCAATGACTTCCATGAATCTTAAGCAGAAACTGCCCCTTTGTGGTGAGATGTCAGAAGTGCCTATGAAATGTGCTATTTCTATGTGCTACTAGAAAAAGACAGAGGGAGTAGTGCCAGTAGCACTGTAGAAGGAGAAGCCCTCTCTAATCCAATAAACAAACCCAAGTAAGTGTACTAGACAAGTTTTTCTAATGAAAGCTGAATAGAGCAGATTGTTATACTTCTTTGTTTCACCTTGTGGCTTTTATTCAGGTCTGTGTTTGAACTGTACTCTGGTAAAACCATACAGTTGGTTCTTTGAGGCAGGTAACTTTTCAATTTAATAAGAATACTTCCTACTTACCTTTAACTTACTATTTTCAAATTCTTATTTTTTTAAAATCAGTATTTTAATCTTACTAAGAGTACTTGCTACCTTGAAGGGAGAAAGCATAAGAATACCAAGTAAGGCCAGAGTTTTATTAGGTCTCATCTGTGTCTACAGGCCAATGAAGTCAGTAAAAAGGAAGCATATATTGATATCTTACAGAAAATACCGGCACAGAATGCTTCCAATAATTTGTGACTGGGAGATGGAAATAATCTGAGCTTCACACAGAAAAAGTTTGTCATGAAATCTTTAAGATAATATGGAGTTGAAATAATGTTGCTTCATGCTTGTAATTCAAGTTGAGATTTTTCTCAACTCCAGACAATGCTGGGAGCCTTTTATGTTTTGGTTTTGAGCTTCAAATTTGCAGCAAACAATACTTTTGTATTCCAGGAGCACTAGACTAGATTATTATTTACATGTGCTTCATTCAAACTCAAAAATTAAAAGGTGACCTTTTCCATCTGTTTGAAATGTTGTTTGTTGAACTAATTTACAGCACAGGAAGAGGGACTCCTTTTTAATAGATCTGGAATATGGTTTCCCATATATTTTTTTGTTTGTGTAGGACAGGGTATCTGAAATGTGAATCTACCTGTAACCTAATCAAAGATACAGATAATTCAACATGAATAGAGGGATATTGTAACCTCTTAGTTTTCCTTCTTACATCATGTCTAATGTGGCCATACCTTAACAGGATTGAGCTTTATGCCAGTTATTACTTTTTGAGAGAATTTCCTGCAGATTATACTACTGCTATCATACTATAAATGCTATCATAGCCTAAAGACTATTTGAGGTATAACAGGAGGATTACTTAATAACTCATGAGGGATTTTAAAATTTGTGTTTTGTAGACCCTTCTTAAACACATTGCTTAAAGTTTTCATCCTTGAATGAAAGTCTGGATACACAGAGTCTGTATTTTGACTAGTTAATAAGTTCTAGTAAGAAAAATCAGCTTTTTATGAGCAGCTGCATACATACTGTCTGTAATTTGTGTATGTACTCACAAAAATATGTCTTATCTGTTTCAGGAACTCCTGCAAGGTCCTTCTTCAGTTCTAAACCTTTTGTAGCTATAAGTTCCAAAATACTTTCTCTTCTCTGTTTCGACTAGGTATCTGTCTATGCCATACAGCAGCATCTAAACCAAGTTGGGTATGCCCTAGACACAGCAGTGAGGCTTCTGGAATTTTACCAAAAATACTTTTTAATGAAATACCCTCTTGAGAAATTAGGTAAGTTTAGGACTTTTTTTTAGGACTTTTTTTGTAAAAAAAAAAACAAAAAAAAAAAACAACCAACCAAACAGAAGAAGCTCAGATCTGAAAAATGCATGGGAATTTTCATATTTAAAAAAATGTATTACAATTACTAATTTATTTTTTAAACTAATTACATGTTTGTCTGAGTGCAAATATTAAGTGAGTCCCAAATTGGAAAGCTTTTGTAAGCTTTTGGAACCAGATTGCTTATATTTTCATTGTAAATTTACACAGAAGAACTTCTTTAGTGGTACTCAGTTTGGTAGTGAGGAAATTCTGTCTGTGAACCATGTTCACAGCTGCAAGATCTGTAGACTGACTCTTCTACATGCATTAGTTTGACTGGAAAGATAGTGAAATGCAGTCATCTAAGATACTACTTTTCATTGGAGTACTTTTCAGGCCATCTCATTTCCATGCTACTTTTGTTCATGTAGGATCTATAGGCAGGGTCTCTTTAAAGTTGTTTGTATCAGAGTTCTGCTAGAGAAACATGATCATAAAGCTATGGGGCTTCTGTACTTGAGATTTGAGTGTATGTCCACATCACAGGGTTTAAATAATGAATTTTTTTTAATGATTATATCATAGAATAGCTAGGCTTGAAATACGGGATTGCTTTAACTAGCAATTTTCAAAATCTTTTTTCAAATCTTTTCCAGATCTGGTAGCAATTCCTGATTTTCAGTCTGGTGCAATGGAAAACTGGGGTTTGATCACCTTCCGAGAAACAACACTCTTATTTGACAATAATACTTCTTCAGCAAGGGATAAAAAGCTAATAACTGCAGTGATAGCACATGAGCTTGCCCATCAGGTAGTAGTCTGGGAAGGTTATTGTTTTCTTTTTTAATTTCTTTGTTTTTTTAAGTGCAATTCTGTCCTTAAATTCACCCCTCCCCTCACTGTGACTGATGCCTTGGGAGGCTACCTAGAAGAGAGGCTAGAGAGTGTTAAAATAACAAAGTAGGTATTTATTAAAATACCCTTCAAAGGATGCACCTTGGGCAGTACAAGAGCCCAGCCGTGGCTACACCCGAGATGGATGATGGGTCACACGTCTTCACACTTTTATACGTTTTGGTCCATTTCCATATTGGGGCTAATTGTCCAATTACAGCTTCAGGTTATGAAGTTCCATCCTCCCAAATGGCTCTCCTCAATTCACTGTTTATACTTTTTGGGCCTGAAAATGCAATGGTGTCCTTGGTTCTAGGGCTGGAAAAGGATTATTTTGTCTACACTGTGAAGAGAACCTGCTAATGCTCTGTATGACGTTCAGAGTATATACTAATGGAGTACAGAATCTGGAAAATATGAAAGCTAAAACTTCAGGCATCATGACTGGGTTGTTTATTGTATCTGTTCAGAAAACCTGCAGGTGTGTTTTCTACAGCACAACAGGCAGAGTGCAACTCTCATGCCATGCTTAAGGAGTTGTTGCTGCAAAGGTTTTACTGTGATTTTAACTGACCTTCATTTTACCACAAGATAAGGCAGAGGATGGATTGAGTACTTCTCGTTTGATTTTAATTCTAAGAAAATAATGATGTTTTGGTCTTTTGTAGTGGTTTGGCAATCTAGTAACTATGGAGTGGTGGAATGATCTCTGGCTGAATGAGGGATTTGCCACGTTCATGGAATACTTCGCCATGGAGGAGGTTTTTCCAGAATTACATTCAGTAAGTAATTTCTGTAATTACATTTACTCTTTTCTGTATTACCTTCACTATTACCTGATTTTAGTGCTGCCTATAAATGACTGATACTTACTGATACTTCAACTGGTATTGAAATTAGTTTTGGGCACCACTGAGATCATGCTACATCTCTGATTTGGCAGTTTATTATATTGGAAGTGTCTTTGAGAAGGGTACATTGTTTCTGTGGGGTTTAAATTTTTTTTCTCTGGTAGTAAGCTACATGCAGTCTACTGTGTTTTGTGAAGGTTATATTCTGTGCAAAATGGCAGGTGTTAAGACATGTAGATGTCTATGTATAAAATTATAACTTAAAATCTTTCTAGAACAAGTCCAGACATGTTGTTGAACAAGTTTGTCTACTTCTGCTTTTCCTAATGGACCTAGGAAGCTTTAGGTTATTAAGTATGCCTGAGGTTGCAAGCACATGAAAGAAGCCTGGTCTGCAGTCATGGTATCATTTATTATTATAAATACATTTATGTATTTATAAATACGTAACATTTATTAGAAGTGCACATAGTTTTAATAATATTTACACTATTGGGTTAAAATAGTGTGAGGCTGGAAAGCCAATGTTGTAATTGTTAGTAAGCTTGCTAAGCAGTAATACTCCTGATGAATTCTCTAATAGTACCATCAGACTGCTCTTAAAAGATAAATGCTTATAGTTCTTTCTGCAAACTGCTGTGTACCTGTTACTTTTTACATTTCTGAAAACTTTGTTACATCTCTACTGCCTCGACTGAATAGTCTTTTCTTTCTAACTAAATGCTTTTTGTTCTCCCAATTACAAGTTCCCTTTGTTTTCTTTCCCTATATATCCCCCTTTCTTTTTTTACTAAGTATAGCAAAGCTAGTACAGTGTGTCTCTGCATAAGCATTACCTGCTTTACATTTTGATGGATAAGCGGTTGAATATGAGAAAATACACATGGTAAACATAATATAATTATCGAAAGTGCTATGAGTCCTACTAGAGCAAAACCAACTACATGTTTGACCCAAGGCCAAAGTGAAATCTTCCCAGCCTGAAGAACAGGCCGAAAGGATCCCATCCCTGATTTGACTGCAGTTCTCCAGACAGCTCCTTCAATTCCTCGATGCTTTTGTGAGTGGGTTTGGGGTGGTCACTCAGGTTCATATAGCACATTCCCTTGAATTCTTCACACCTGTGTCCTTGGGCTAACAGTAAAAAGTCTATTGCTGCAATATTTTGCAATATTGCATGACGTATCCAGTTGACATCTGTTAACAATCCTGTTAAAGCATTACTAATAGCATTCTTTTCTTTTGCAAGCAAACAACCTAGTTTATTAATAGTGTTCAAGGCATGTGCAGTATCAGTAGAGTTAGCTAAGGAATTAAAAAATCTCTTTGCTCTATTCCAGAATTCAAACTCAGAGTCACAGTCAGACTAAATGACTCAGCGTCATGTTTATTTTGTCTGTGTCATTTTGTCCAGTTAGAATTTTGAGACTGGGGTGAAACACAGTCAAATGACCAAAAGTACATGGACTTCCCACTGCGTTACTTGGAATGCCTTTCTATGCTCTGTTGCCACATACTAAAAATATGTTATCAGGCAGGCTTATTGCATTGGTCTCTGTTGAGATTTGTGAGGGAGTAGTAAAATTGCACCAGGCAGAAGCCATTACAATAAATGCCAGTGCCACTTAGGTCAACCCCCGTGTTGTCTGCTTTTGGATCATTTTTAGATAATTAAGGTAAAAGCACACAGGAGCTTTTATAGAGCCTAGTATGTCCAGCTCTTGAGGCTACAGTGAGAGAGCAGGGAAGTTACTTAACTTTTCTCATGCCTTCATCAGTATTGCCCAGGTACCATCCCACAGACTCTCCAGCATTAGCCTGCCATGATCCAAATCACCACAACGATCTGCACTTACCTGGAGTTATACAATCACATTAAGCTGATTGTAAAACTTGCTCCATTCATCCTTCTTCAAAGAAATGCCAACCAGACACGCCTGAACTGGATCACTAGGACTGGTCATGGATATATGAAGGGTAGATTGGTTAATTGCTTGGTTAATGTGAGCCAAACATTGGTCTTTGGTCAATGTTTTGTTCACATTCATTGAGAATATGCGGAGGGTGCTAAAAAAGGTCACATATGTTGTGTCCAAACCCATTGCAACTGATTACCAAGCCAAAATTGTGATGCCTTCCAGTCTTCATTCCTTCTGTGATGGGTTTTATGTTCTTCACAGGTAGCCAGTGAGCTCCTGTGGCTAGAGAAACACAGCCATAACCACACCCCCATGTTAGCAAAAGCACAGGGCCTAGCCATTGTCCACTCTGCAAGTCTTTGTAATAGACAGGTGGCTGAGAATCCATTAAAGCACCGTGGGAAAATCTGCTTTCATTTGCTGTTTCCTTATCAAATCTGGAAATATTTAAGAAATTGAAAGCAAATGTTACTTTGTCCAGTTGTTCCTGAGGCACTGTACCAAGGGCATCCCCCCCTCTTTTGTTTAATTCTTTGTTTAATATTCTTTAAAAGGGCATGCCTTTGTTCCACAACAGCTTGACCTGTTGAGGAATGAGGTAAACCAGTTAAGTGACATATACCCCAGCAATGAAAAAAAGGTTTTAATTGGTCGTGAAACATATGCTGCACCATTATCAGTTTTCACTACTTTCAGGACTTCTAAGGTAGCAATAATTCGCAACATGTGTTTAATGACATCTCCTGCCTTTTCCCCTTTATGAGTGCAGGCAATAAAAATTCGGAATATGTGTCAACTGATACATGCACATATTTTAGGGTGCCAAAAGAGGAAATGTGCGTAGCATCCATTTTCCAGACTTCATTGACACCCAAACCTCTTGGATTTGTACCTACTGTGGCAGGTAAGAGTATTAAATGAGCACAATCAGGACAAGAATGAACAATTTATCTGGCTTGAGAAATGGTAAGATCAAATTGTTTACTCAAAGATTTTGCATTCTGGTGATAAAAGTCATGTGACAACTTTGCTTGTATGATTTGATTCGGAACTGTTGCCATCATTGTCAGAGCATCAGTAGCTGCAATGCCTTCCACCAGAGGTCCAGGCAATGATGAGTGAGTCCTGAGATGCATAACATAAAAAAAGATGAGATGATATGACATCAAACATAATCATACAGAGTAGGTAACAGCATAAACAAATCCTTGTTGAGTACCTGCTTTAAAAGGTAATGTTCAATATGGTTTAAAATACCTACTACATACAAGGAATCTGATATTAAGTTGAAAGGTTGAAACATATATAGTCACTAGAAATGGCTTCTAAACCTACTAATTGTGTTGACTGTGGCTGAAAAATCACAGTTTTCCCAATCCCCTGTGGAGTTTTTCCAAACAAAAACTGCTTTCTGAGTTTTACCAGAGTTATCAATGAAAACTGTCTTTGCTCCAGACAGGGACTGTGACAATGTTAGAAAATGTGTCTGTGATTGAATCTTTCAAAGATTGCAAAAGGGTGGTTTTTTTGCAAAACATTGACAAGATTTCCCCAAAAGTGTGTAAGGGCAGCCTGTAAAGATAATGATTCTCAGAACACACCCTGAAAAGAGATAAAGGAATGTGACGAATGTGGATGTGAGAAGGATCTTCCTCACTAAGGGTCTGGCATAATTTTCGTGCTGTGGAAACAAGTCTAACAGTCACATCAAGCAGTGTAGTTACTGTTTTTGAAAATGTGTGAGGTGAAAATAACCACTCTATCATCCACAGTTGTTGCTTATACACCACTGTGCAATTAGTTTGCATATGGTTGGAATTGAGCCAGGATAAGAAAAAGCCTCTGTGGTAACTCTGCTTGTCATCTGGATACAAAAGAGGTCTGAATTTCATTTGTTACAAGTTGCAATGCTTCAGGGGCTTCTGCATGCAGCTTGTGAGGAGAGGAGATAGTAAATCTGTGTCTCCCTTTAGTAAATTAAACAGGTGACAGTTCCTCAGTGAACATACCAAGGGTAGGTCTGAGCCAAATAATAGTTTCTAATAATTTTTGCAAATCATTTAGTGTTGTAATAGAGGTCTTCAGCACAATGGACTGAGGAACAATTTTCTGTTTAAGTAATAGAAACCCAAGGTATTCCCCTGGTGGGACAGTTTGAACCTTGCCTGCTGCAATACAAAGACCAAATTTATCAAGAGAAAGGCGCAAAAACGCAAAACATTTTTGCAATACTACAGAGTCACCTTTTGCTAGCAGTGTATCATCCATATAATGATACAACAGAACCTTTGAAAAGTGCTGTTGCACTGGTTGTAAAGCACTTGCACCACAAACTGGCATACTGTAGGACTGGTTTTCATTCCTATTGGTAACAAAATCCAGTGATACCTTTGCGTAAGTTCAGTGTTGTTCAAGGATGATAATGAAAAAGCAAAATGAGGTGCAGCATCAGGGTGTAATGCAACTGTGAAAAAACAAGCTTTTAAGTCAACGATTTACAGTTCCCATGTTTCAGAGATCGTTGCTAGATTAGGAATTCTGGGTGTCCATCAGGGCTATTAGTGCACTGACAGCCCTCAGATCTTGTGAGTCTCCATTTGCCAATCTTTTATGGAATCACAAATATTGGGGTGTTCCACGGGGTTCCAGTAGAAACTGTAT